TTAAACATGAGCATAAATGCAATTATGCAAGTTGTGTTACAAACTATGTTTGGAAGTATTCTACTATATAAATTAAAGGGTAATTTAGACATTTCATCTCCAATCCTAGCTCCAATTTGTACTTTAATGACGACCTTTTATTTGTTGCATTTCTATCAAAACCTTCCATGCTTCCTTTAACTTGTGAGAATGGATGGCAACAGTTGAAGTTGTTGGTGGGGGATTGTTGGAAAAAATTCCAACGCATGGAGCCACACACACATATGTATATTAAAATGTAAGGTGTTATTTCAAAATTTAGTCAATAAAGTGATCTTTTAAATTTAATTTTGGACTAACGAGTATTAAATATCATGAAAATAAAGTGTAAAGATTAGAAGAGTTATTTTAAATTGATGAGTAACCAATTTAAAATAACTAAAAAGATAACAACTGTCACATACAATTATTTATCATGGTCATTTTTCTCAATTGAATGTGATTTTCATCTCTCTGCAATTTCTATCAACAGAAAAGAATTTTCTAAGAAATTACGTATCAATTAAAAGATCATAACCCGTTCAAGCAATCACATTTATGAATCAAGGTATGTTTTTGCTTCTAATCTTCTCTTTAATTTTAATATGGAGAGTTTACTTGCATTTGAAAGGATTTGATAAAAGTTTTGGTCCCTTTTCAATTTCTACAGGGATGTGGTGGGTTGGGTGCTGATAAAAAAATGTAGGGTTGGAATTTTATTTTTATGAAGAAATATTTGGATGGAAATTGTAATTAAAATTAATTAAAAGTTAATTATAAAAATACAGCAACAAAAAATTAGACACACAAGTACGATTCGAAGCAATGATTAATTTACTTTAGATTAAAAATAGCCACCGGCCTTTCGCAATCAAATATAAATATATATATTAAAATCAACGGAAAAGGATTTATAGAGACTCGTGAAAGGAGTGCATGATAGCTGGCTAACAAAAGACAAATGGTTTTAACAAAATTTCAAAGGGCCAACCGGACAAATCGCCTTCTTGGGACCCACCAAACAAACTTGTGACGTTGGACGATAGAGTTTATGATTGAGCTGAAAATATTGTCGGATATTTTAGTTATAAGAGGATACGAAGCTGTCTTAGGTGTCAAACGTCGGTCCTTCTGTTTCAAACAAATGTTTGGTCCACGCTACATCTATGGTTGTAACTCAATCATAGTACGTATGTACCTACACCAATAATTCAAGAGGGAGTTGGATTTTCCAAAATTGATTAAAAAATTAAAATTAAAATCAATAATTATTTTTAATAATATATTCAATGGAACCCAAAATTTTTCAATCACACACTTTATCAATTTTTTAAAAAAATTATTAAAAATTTGATTTTTAACCTCTCAATATAATTTTGATATTTCTAGCATCGTTACGAAGTGTAACTATATTACTATGTTTGTATTTTGATTGAAGATATGTTTTTATGAATTCGACAGGTGCACACATTTTTTCCTTTAGATAGCAACAACCCGACATTGAATATGAATATTAGCATGCCTTCCCATATTATTTTTGGGATTATTATAAAATCCAATTTGCAAGAGCCATTCTAAAAGGTCCATCTTGGTATGAACAAATTTAAATTTAATTTGCCTACCATCGAGAGCCCCATACATGAACAATGCATTTTTTTAATGTTAGTTATGGTAAGTAGTACCAATTTTTGATTTTCAAGTGAAGTCCTTTCCACTATAATTACGATATACTTTCGTAATCTGCCTCTAAATCTCAACTATTTTCTTTTTTCGTGTAAAGTGTTTCTAGCATTCAAAAGTAAGCTCATGACACTCGTGAGATTTTGTCTTCCTTCTCTCTTTGTAGAGACAACATCTTCCAACTTATCACCAACCTTAATGGTTGTCGATTGATTCGGTATTTTCTAGATTTAGAACATCGTTGCTATGAGAAAAATTTGTAGGCGGGAGCGTTGAATTTATTGTAGAATAAGTTATCATCCTTATTGACGTTCATGAATTCGGTGTAATCTATTACGAATTTGCAGAAAATTTAGGAATAAAAACTACAACTAATAGAAATAATTGGTATTGAAAATCTGAAATTGACGACAAAAGAACAATTGTATAATAACTGTAAAATTATTCTCTTAAAAGGATGAGTGTGTTACATTAATGAGATTGTAAAGAGTGGTGAGAGTTTGACCTGTTTGGACTCCATTAACGTGCTTTTGAAAAAAAATGTATTTTGGAATAGTGATTTTTTAAAGAATACGTGATTGAAAAATAAGGAAAATTTTTGAATTTATGTGTAATATTAATATTATTATTATGAAAATGTGTGATTAAAAAGAGGAGAGAAAATTTGCATCTTAAATAAAGTAGAGCCCAAATAAGATGTTGGTTTAGAATGAATTGATGGTGGAGCAGTAATCCACCGTACAATCTGCATGGCTGCTTGCAAAGCTAGGCAAGCCTATTGCTCTCCTAGCCTTGACTCGCGAGTTTTCACGCGAGCTTGTTAGCTCGCTCGACTCGTACTCGAGTTTAGCTACTTAACTCGACTCCTTTGTATGATGAGCCGAGTCAAAGAATAGCTCGTCCCACTTAACATCTTATGGACAATTGATCTTGGCTAATTCCTTTTTATAGACTATTACTTACATTTGCATTTAATAATTATAAATTAAAGACTTCATGTGGAAGGAAGCATCCTCTTTGTTTCCTTACCACGGGAATCATTACGTCTATCATTATATTATGTACCAAAAGATTTAAATAACTAGAATTATTTATACTTGTACTCCCTGAAATTTATAAAGCCTTAAATTCTATTGATTGAATGAAGAAAATAAAACATAAATATTTGATGCTATAAAAAATCGTACTTGTTGATATTCAAGTTTGATGGCTAAGAATGAGCACGAACAAGATCTTCATGTACTTAAAACAAAGGCTTCGAGGTGTATCATCATCCCTCTCCGATGATTAAGTTAGAGAGATAATTAATGCTTAAAGCTATAAACTGAAATTATGTAATATCGTATCTGAATAATGTATTAAGTTCCCGTGTTAATAGAGGCAGGTGATTGGATCCTAGAAGGATTAGTCCGCCTACGATCCTTATCTTTTATTGATTACGCAACGTAGTAGTGTTATACTAAAAGTGTCTTATGAGGTTTGAGTTTGATTGTTGAACTAAGTATTTGTACAAAGGTCAATATAAGGAATTGTCGCAAAAGTAAGATTAGAACTTCCAGTAATTTTTGGGTAAGAGCTTGAAGAAATCTTTTAGTCCGACCTTGCCCATGCCCGACCTTGCTCTTGAGGCGTTTTAGCGAGGAAATGTTTGGGGCTACAAGCTCGGGGTATGGTGCATAAAACTCGGGTTCGTGTCTATGAGATTTCTCGCATATCAATATTAAATTACATTAAAATTATATTTGCCGTCGCATTTTTTTTGGGTATAAATTAGTCACCGGAAATAGCTCTTGTTCATGTGCTCATTCGTTTGGTGGACGACTCACGTGCTACTATAAGGTACGTGCGGGGGTACGGGCAAAGGACAGACGTACGTGAGTATCGGAAGAACCTCTGCATGTGAACCTCACAGATTTTCATTTTCCAGACAGCTGGCGGTCCGTTAAAAGAGGAGCAACGGCTACCGCATGGAGGAAACTTTTTCTTTTTGAGTTTTAACCCAAAATTTTGCTGATTTTACCCTCTGTTTACGTGACAAAAACGACTAACGAGGGAGACGTGTGGCATAATATTGGAATCAAACTGGATAAGCATGAGGAAAAGGCAAAGTTATGTTTCAAAAAGAGTATTTGACATAAAAATTGTTTTTATCATATATCTATTTTTGTTATTTATTAATTCTGACATTTTAATCTTTAAATCGATCAAACCTTATATAAATTATTTATACCATCCATTTTCTTCGTTAAAACCTTGTAAAACGAAGAATTTATCTCACTATTTGAATGAAAAATAAGGAAAATAATAATAATTATAGGAACCTTATAAACTTTCCAAATGCGAACGAATTAAACTTGAAACAATTTAAAATATTTAAATATATTTTTTCTTAATCTTCCCTACTAACCTCACCGAGACCCTAACATCCACCCGTTGCTGTCGCTATCGATGCACCCATCACCCACTGAACTAAAAAGAGAATAAAAAAATTAAAAATATAAGGAAAGAAGTAAAAAAATGAATTAATTCTTTCTCCTCATCCAATTTTTCCATCATGCCACGTACCACTGCCCATTCTTTCCACCCCCACAAAATAAAAAACGTTTGTTTTTCATTTTTTTCATTAAAATGAAAAATATGATCGTCATTCATCACACAAAACCACCAAATTTGAAATCTAAATTAAAGTCAATAATTAATTCTAATTACATATTTTATGAGTTGTACAATTTTTAAACAATACATTTTATCAAGTTCTATTATAAAATTATTATAATTTATGAAAAGAAATGAGTGGTACATGATGCATGATAGGAAAGAAAACAATGACCCTAATTTGGGTGAGTCGTTCAAAATTGCGTTGGGTGGCCGTTAGGATGTGTCAGTTTACAGCCTGGCCTCAACAACATTACATCATTTTTTGTCGTTTTCCTCTGTCCTTATTTTAAAATCAAAATCTCTCTCTCTCTATCCGAAAAAAAATATCAAATCCCATAATGCTCCACAGCCTGGCAGCTTTGGTCAAACTTCAATCTCCAATCTCCATTTCAAAACTGCACACACATTTTTTTTTTTTTTTTTTTATAAATTTTCCCTTTCAGAATACACGAGATTTTATATTAATGTGATTTTAAGTGTCACATCTAGCCTTCTAGCAACCGACACGTATACATTGCCAGCTGTAACGTTAGTAACTGCCCTATTCCCGGTTTCTTCCCTTTATATAGATAATATCCCATTCTCTCTACCTGCCTCTCATATTGAGGTGAGGTTCTGTCTCTCCATACACCTGTACATACAGAAATTTGTATCTATAGCCTGGGTTTTCGTTTTCTTGGTGATGGCGGTGTTATCACAGAGGAAAGAAATGGATCGGATCAAGGGCCCGTGGAGCCCGGAAGAGGATGAGTTGTTGCAGAGGTTGGTGGAGAAGCATGGACCTAGAAACTGGTCTTTGATTAGCAAATCGATTGCGGGAAGGTCTGGGAAATCGTGCAGGTTGCGGTGGTGCAATCAGCTTTCCCCTGAAGTGCAGCATCGGGCTTTTACGCCTGAAGAAGATCAGACGATCATTCGGGCTCACGCGAAATTTGGCAACAAATGGGCTACTATATCTCGATTATTGTCTGGCCGGACGGATAACGCCATCAAGAATCACTGGAACTCGACTCTGAAGCGCAAGTGCTTTTCCATGTCCGAGGAGTTCAACAACTTTGAGCCTGAATCTCTGCAGCCGTTGAAGAGATCTTCAAGTGTTGGGCCGAGTACTAAACTTTGTAGCTCCGGTCTTTATTTAGACCCTAGCAGTCCATCCGGATCTGATTTGAGTGATTCAAGTCTTTCGGGTCATCAAATTTACCGACCCACTGCAAGAACCGGGGGGACCTCTCCTCAGCATTCCTCGCCTTCTCAACCAGATCTCCTTACATCACTTAGCCTTTCCTTACCCGGATCTAGTTCCAGTCCAAAAACCGTTTTAGAAACGAGCATGAAATCTGTGTCCCAACAAAGAAAACCTGTATCAGACCCGACCCCTAAACCTTTACAGGAACCGGCTCTTAAATCCGGGTATCATATCCAAAAAACCCAGTCCTCGACACCACTCCCACCACAACCACATGTTCAATTGACTTTTCCGCCGCTGGCGCCAGTTTCGATGCAGACTCTGCAGTATGCTGCAGCAGCGAAACCAACACCATCGCCATCACAAGCTGTTGCGGATAAACAGTTTTTTAGCCCGGAGTTTTTGGCAACTTTGCAGGAGATGATAAGAAAGGAGGTGCGGAATTACATGGAAGGGATCGAGCCCAATGGGTTTTACATGCACACAGATGCGATCAGGAATGCAGTGGCGAAGCGAATTGGGATAAGCGAGATTGACTAATGACTCATTCAAATCAAGACTCGCGTTTGGTGAGAGCGTTGGAACGAATGAAGTCCGATGGATGTTAGGATGCGGGAATGAACTTTGTTTCGTTTTGTAGAATTCTTATCTTCGTTCTACACAAAAAAAATAATTTTGAAGTATTGTACAGGTGAACGGTGAGACGGGTGGGTGTGTATGTTCTGGAGGTTGAAGGTTTGATGTTGGATGGAAAATGGCCGGAAAATCAATCGAAGAAAAACTGTTGTGAGGTGGAATTTTCCATCTTCCATAGGGTTAACGAGTTTAAAATATAACTAACCATAAGTTTAAAAGTTCCTAATTATTATTTTTATTTAAATTTCTAATTCTAACGTTGAGATTATTTGTCACTAACACACCAAATTCAATGAAAAATACCTATATCCCTAACTAACACTGGGTTGTCCTCAACCTCCTTAACCAGAATCTCCACCGGCAAATTCCGCAAAACAAACTATTAACCAATTTATAAGTAGACATTAAAAGGCCTGACTCATGAGATGTTTTGAGCTATACGCCTCGACTCATCAAGAAGAATAATGTTATTCGTAATCGTTCACTGCATTAGTTGTCCTATGTGACAATTATTATTCATGTGTATGTCACGTAAAACGACTATTATAATGAGCAACTCTAAATAACATTATTGGCAACCATCAAGATAATTTATTTCAAAAGAATATAAAAATGCTAAAACATGATAAACCAATACATATAACCCTCAATAAATCAAGATGGAATCTTCAAGGCCTTCAATGAACTTGTGTAGGGCATTTTATGGCCTTTTATCTACTGTAGGACAAAACTTTCGAATTGGATTGGACCAGATCGGACGGACCCGACCCGATCCTAATCAAATCGAGCGATTCTTTTTAAATTAAATATTTGAAGGGGTATCTGAATCAAGAATCGACGAGTTCGATTCAGTTTGGTTCTCAATTCTAGACCTAGAAATAAAGAATCAATTAAGAATCGAATCTTCCTAATTTTTTTAATTTATTTATCTTAAATAAGTCAAATTATTCTTTTTCTAAATAAATTTGTCAACTAATTAATTTAGCCCAAATCTAAAATATGATTTTCTATTTCTAATTTTAGGCCAAGCCCAATTTAATTAAATTGATCCTAGCTTTTTTTTTTTTTTTTTTACCTAAATCTATAATTATACCATAATGTCGTTCTACAGTTCTGGAGAATCTAATTGAAAGCTCGACTATGCCTCACTTCATTATTGTAAGCTCACTATCTTCGTTTCCATGTTATTTTAACAATCAAATCTATGAATAACTCAACAAAGAGAGATGCAAAAGATACATAAGATTGAACTGCGTTATTTTGTAAGATATTAAACATATCATTAGTTGAATTATGTAGCATTTTAAATATTAAAAAATTTAATTATTTGTATGGAATCCAGGAATCAAATGAAATCGAACTGAACTAAATAGAACCGAACTCGAATGGTTCCATAATTAAATTTGGACCCGACGGTTCTATTTATTAAATTTTCCAAAAATTTGAATTCGATTTGATTCTCTTTAGAACCGAATCGAATCGGATCACATCCAGACCTACTTTTACCAATGCTAAAATATTTTCTCAAGATATCTGCCAAACTATATTTTAGGGCACCTTGGAACTATCGCCAAAGAAGGAACGGCTTCATTTTTCAATTGCTTTTGAGGTCTGTTTGGATGAGCGTAGGCAAGTTTAGGATTCGCTATCGCTTTCAGCTTGGTACTACTAGAATTTCTACCATAATTACTTTTGATCTTAGATATATCATTAGCATCAGAAGAATAATGTCGAATCTGATAAAGATTACTGTAATAGAGTGAAACTACGAGCTAAAAGAAAGCGTGCCCTACTATAAGATAATATGACACCATCTCCCAGTTTTCGTGGAGTAACTTGCTTACAGTACACAGAGCGTTGTCAATCGTGACTCTTAGACGTGGATTCATGTCACTCCCTCTAGTATTCACAAACGTCTGCATACTTCTACAAAGTGAGACAATATTTTATTACCTTTGTTAAAGCATTAATATTCAATCAAATAACCAACCACCATCTTAAAAGACAATGAACAACCATCTAGAGTGAGAACTCAAATATGATGAGTACTTGTGCATCCATGTTAGTGTAATTCAAATGACTTCCAACATTGCAATTTTTCTCCTTGAGACATTCAAATATTCCCTAAAAGCTTGTAACTTGTAAGAGTCTAAGATGAATAAATGTTAAATTGATTTACTTCATGCTCATAAACCTTGGTTACCAATGATTTTAATGCACGACTTATAATCGCCTCAAACTACAACCAACCACCATGTATAAATACTGCATGCTCACTTAGAAGTAACCCTCACTTGTATCAACCGGCGAGCACAAGTTAATATCCCTAAAACCATCCATTAAAGAAGTCTTTGATGCAATCATATGTAAATCAAATCTTAAATATCAAGTAGTAGTCAAACTACACATGGCATCTTAGAATCCAAGGAATCCAACTCATTTATCTTATTCTTGTAGAAACAAATTCCAAAAAGCAAAATTGAATTGAACAGGAGAAGGTATTGTGGAATATTTGTTCAAAATCAATAGAATGATAATGGACTAATTGTTGGATTCAATTGTGGAATTGTTAGAATCAAAAGAAATTGAAAAATGAAAATTTTGATTTTTGCCTATGTGTACGCACAGGCTTATTTTTGTGCGTGCGAGATGTGTTTTTTCAAAATCAGAATTGATTTTACTTTTATTATGTGTACGCACGGTTTATACTATGCGTACACATAGTGTTAAAAAAGAGCCGTTGGCCGATTTTTCAATTTGAAACTTGGAAGCCGTTTTGGATTAAAAGTTGCCACTTTTCATCTTGTTTTGGCACCATTTCGTGATATATTGATTGAGGCCTATAAATAGGTGATGAATGATCAATACAAACATTATTACAAACAAGAAATACATACATTGTTCCACCATTAATCAAATCCATGTTATAACTCATATTCATTTTTTCTTTATTGTGTTCATCAAGTTTTGGCGGAAAATTTCTCATGTTTTGTTATTTTCTACATCAAGGCTTGTTAAAATCCTTCAAACCATTTGCCATAACATCCTTAAGTATCTAGAGAGGGGGTAAATATAGTTTGAGGACAACAATCCCGTATTCAAGCCTCAAATTCATTCTTGACGTATTTCGTTATTTCTATTCATTTTGTTTCCATAATTTTGTTGTTGTTTCTTCTCCAACGCCTTATTTCCCAACAGGTACTTGCCCAATTTAAAACCAGAACATCATTCCTATCAAAACCAATAACAACTGCATATCAGCATACGTTATTGTAATCAAAGTATAGAAATCCCAAAAATTCACCCGAACAGAGGGAAGAACATAATCCAAATAAACAGAAAAAAGATCAAATCAAAGTATACTGTTGAAAATAAACAAAAAACAGTTAATGTGAACTGAAAACCCGCAAAAGGAGGATATAAAGAGAACTATTACATGCATTAGCATCCAAGACTCAATAAAAATTATTCGACTGAAAAAATAATAATAATGATAATCTCACATGTGATTAGGCTTATTCATCATCAACAGAAGCATCAGTTTTCTACCTTGTGTGGTGGAGCCATGGACTCCGCATCTTTCTCCTTGGGCTGATCCTTGTTTTCAACATCTTGGGTTACCAGATTCGGCCTTCATAGTGTCCAGCATTCTCTTGTTGCTTTCCTTAAGAGTATACCTGTAGAATCTTGATCTTTTCATAATCAGCGGTGGCAGTAGCCCCCGCTGCTTGGAAAGCCTCCTCTTAAATGATCTTGGTGGACCCTGCGGCTTCCTCGGCCAACATGATGCCGTAGGGCTTGGACAAAATGGAAGGGGTGGAGAGGGTCTCAATAAGACAGTTCCTCACGACATCCTGTGTGCGCTCCCTCAGTGGCTATTTGTTGTAATGATAGGTCCCAGTCAAGAGCCAAAAGTATTGAAATTATAATTCTTTCTTTGGGTGAAAGAAAATCCACGGTTAATTGAATAAAATTTTACAGCCTTTCATTCATGTTCATTACATATATAGGCAAGAGCTATAACAACTAACCAAGTAGTTTCTAAACTAAAGGAAGCACTACTTACACATAATAACAACTCCTAAACTAAAGGAAATAACAGCAGCAATAGTAAAATACGTGCAAACAGAAAATGATGGTGCAAAATAGAAAAAGAGAAATGCAAACACCACTTGGACTAGGTCTTCTCTGGGATATTATTCTAAATAAGATTCCTACGTGGCCTAACATTACTTCCTCCACAAGTGGACACTTATCCCCAAGGTCCACACCTGAAGGTTGCTTCTGGAGGTCTTCCTAGATATGGATCACTTGCACTTGCTTTGTGCCCTCTATGATCTCTTCACAGGTAATGTTGCCTGTGTTTGTGCACCCCTCCAGCAGTAATATTTGTGATTTTTGACATTTGTGACCAGCAGTGAACCTGTCATTGCAATTGAAACAAAGACCTTGTGCTCTCTATTTCTACATTTCATCCCAAGTGATTCTCTTCACGGGTGATGAAACTGTAGTTTGTGCTCGGGGATGGAAGCGTGAGTTCGGTGCGAGTTGGTGATGCTAATCGTGTGAACCTTCTTTCGCATTGTAGTTGTTCGTCCTTCATCCTTGTTAAGCTCATTGCCTCTTTTAAAGTTTTAGGCTTAAACATGCGGGTGCCCTCTACAATCTCAAGTTGCAAGTCCCCCATGAACGTGCCCACAAGTGCCTTTTGGGTCCATCCCTTTACGCAATTGCCCATCCTTTCAAATTCCCGTTGGTAGTCCTTCAACGTACTAGTCTGTGTGCTATGCGAGAGGGCTTTATCGAAATCCTCTCCTTCTGTCGGCCCAAAACGTGCCCACATCTCTTCAGAGAAAAGCTCCCATGTGATCAGCCTGTACTCCTATTGATATGTCCTGTGCAACCACTACCACCATTGATTTGCTTTTCCCTCCAGGTGGTAAGAAGCAAGGGACACTTTTTGGTTGTTAGGGGTGTCTTGGTGCTCAAAAAATTGGGCCACACGGGTGAACCATTCTGTCGGATCGTCGCCAGAGTACTTTAGGAATTTCAGCTTTGCCATTTTTGAAGAGAAAGGTTGACGGTCACTTTCATTCTCCTCGCGATGTGTGTGGAAGGGCACTTCACGTTCATGATTGTTATGGCTAGATGAAGCACTATTTAAAAGGTTAGCGTCATAAAGCTTTTGGATGGTTGCCTCGAGATGGTTCAGCTTGTCAGCAACGC